ACAGCTAATGCGTAGACTGAGAAGTACTCAAGCTGGAAACGCCGGGCTGATATCTTCATCTCAACCGGCGGGCTGAGAAGCTGCTGGCTCTCGACTTGATCGTCTTCGTTCTCTTTCGTTTCGACATTGCTCAGTCGTCGCCTCTGCACGATGTACTGACGATAGAGCAGACCAGCGTTGACTGCCGTGAAAAGGCCCAGATTCAATTGATAGAAGGACATTGAGGGCGCTATAGACGAAATCATTTCGTGTGTCGGGACGTAGTGTGGTGGCGTTTGTAGTGGTGAAATGGAGGAGAGACGGTGGAATGTCAGGAAACAGGCGTCGTTGTCAGGAAGCTACCATCCATCCGACGTCGTGACATGCAAGGTGTTTCATCTATGACCATACACTAGTCCTGAGGTACGCGATCGGAATGATCGGTGCGTGCGACACTGCCGAGGCGTCGAGTAACGAGAAGCTCCCAAGCAGCGTGAGCCCGCGCTGTGGTCGTAAATCTTCCAGGATCGTAAGCGTTCTCAACAGGAGCTTTGCCTGAGCTACCCTCACAGAGTATGGGTGCTGATGAGGCGATGTGACTTCTGCGAATGGTGGAGACACGTAGACTGTACGATCAATAATCGTGAGCTTGTCAGAGTTGACAGGTGTGAACAGATGGCGCTTGCCTCCACCAGGGTCCCGCTTGTGCGCCCGAAATAGCATCACACCTTGCCGTCCGCCTCCTACGATCTTCGTGCAGGGGACACGACATAACCCGTGCTCCCAATGATACTGTCGCTCTGGCTGGCTGACGTTGTTCCGTGACCGTAGTGTACTCGAGGCCGGCGTGTCCGTGTAGGCAGATTCACGATGCTCGCGAGAGGCCACCAGCAGTGCCCGATCATTGTGGAAACACGTGTTGCGGGATGTTGCAAAATATGCTGGAGCACCAAGGTTCCAGAAGAGCAACTCCGAGGACTCAGCATCTTATAGAGTTATACTGATGCCGCGGACCAGACTTAATGGAATTTTCGCATCGTGAATCCGTGGCAATATGGGCGTGGACAGACATTTATGAAGTCAAGTTTCATACTGGACAAGAGAAAGACACCTGCGAGGACATACCTTTTCCCTTACTGTACTGGAGACCTCGTTGTGGTTTCTTTGAGGCACCATTATTTACTAATGAATTGAAGCACTGAAGATTGTGCTTCAATGTCAAAGTTGATCTATGTGGAGAATCATGCAAAATGCCAAGCTCCAGGGAATGCAATTGTTCAAACGGACAAACATCGCCGCCGTTGATGACTGGTGGCGCCATATCATAAGTGCAAGCTCCTCGGCATGTTTTCTCAACCTGTGACCGCGAGGTAGTCATAAGCCTCCAATGCCTGAGCCTTCCGACGGATGCTGCGGCATTCTGGAGCCTCTGGGCTAGAGCAACATCCGAGCGGGAGGCTGAAAGGAAGCCAGTCAACGTCGCGGGTAGAGGCGGGAACGAGATCCCTAAGGTTTGGCGACTATTTCAAGTCCCGGGTGCGGCTGAGCAGTCACCGACGTAATGAAGGTGAACGAAGCGGGGGCGACTGGTCGCTTCCCATCCCCATATATACCCAATTGCATTTCACAATGGGCCCGCCGGTTGGTCTGAGCCCAAAAGCCCCGTCGTCTTGAGCTCGACCCAGATGTCCTGTTCACTAGCATCCGGCCACTGACGACAGCATTCTGCATTCAAAGCCCGACAAGACGGTAACCCGGTTGTACGAATGTTTCTCTGGAGTTATCCTATCCTTCGTGAGTCTTGACGTGTCGCGGTCAAGCAAGGGTAGCTCCATCGATCAAGGGCCTACCAAGATCGCTTGGTGGTGTGAAGCCTCGATCGTATAGCAACTCCTGATGATCCTTACACATTCGATCAGCCATGTATGGCCCAACGATTGACACAAGCCACACGCCTTCCGTGGCTCCATTCGTTAACCGGCCGCTCGAGTCCAACGACTTGTAGGTGCTGTAGCGTAGGTACTCCTTGTCTTACCTGAAAGCAGATGGCCCCACACCTGATGGAGCCAAAAGTCCTACGCAAAGTCCTACAGACCAAATCTGCCCGTCAGCGTGTTTACAGGCTGCAGGTTGCAGAACAGGAGTCACCAGACTGCAAACTCAAACCGCAGATCTGCAGCGGCTGGAGAGTGGGGGAGCAGAGAATGGATCAAACAGGCAGGCTCTCGCTTTCGAGTGATCCTGCAACAGGATTCCCTCCTGGTTCTGCCAAGAGGCCTGTCTGACCATTACGTATAATGAGATGAAGAGACAGACAGACAAGTATGCGTACCCCAGGGGTCCGAAACATGAACGCAGCCCTTCCAATTGTTTCTTTCATCTGAGGTGCTTCACGTAGCTTGTGCTGGGGGTCAAGGCACCAAGCTGGTAAAGACAAGACGGCATGGCACCCATGTGCACTGCCTCCCGATAGCTGACAGGGCACGCAAAACCTGGTCCCATCTGCTTTCTCAGTGGGTGTCGTCTCGTCGTGTCCCTGGTCGCTGCTGGGCCCAAGCTTGCTGTTTGCTGCTTGCTCAGCCTTACCAGTAGTGAGTCCTACAGTACATGTACTACGGTGGTGCCAAAGCCGCTAGCGTGGTCAGCTCCTGGCGCCATCTGCGCCCTCAGCCACTGCCCTTTGTGACGGAGCTGCCCCTCATTGCCTTTCCCCGGTGGAATTGAGAAGAGGAGTGAGAAGGAAGGGAACGAAGGCAAATCGCGACCCAATCCACCCAAACACCTAGCCTAAGGTACCTTAGGTAGGTACCCAGGCCCAACCCAACCTGACAGATGCGCTTGCACGGTCCTGATCTCACCAGTTACCATTTCCCAAGCAATTCATTTTTCCGCATCAGAGGGCAGTCAGTGACGCTTGTCATGCGACGAGCATGGTGTGAATCAAGCACAGCACTGCAGGCACACGCGAAGCGAAGGTGCTTCCCGGGGTCTAATCCTTCCGCGGCGAGGACGGCCACAACGTCCACATCACTTGCCTACGTCCCGTCTTCGCCTTCAACAGGGTACATGCGCCGAGGCGCACCTGGCCACCCGCAGCAACAGCTGAGGACGTACCTACTATATGCCTTGGGTTCCTACCTTGCCTAGAGGTACCTACTGAGCACCCATCCGCAGCACACGAGGTCGGTAGTGCAGGACTTGTTTGGTCGCCCTCTTATTTTTTGTGTTGTGTCGGATTCGGCATCTCAGCTAGGCTCCATCCAGCAGCTGCCCCTCATTCTATTTTCTACCTCTTCCACACCCGCCCGCCCCATACCACAGCCCAGCGCACCGTCACCGCGACGCACCGCTTTTGCTTTTGCGCCGACTTCCCATCTTTCCACCTCGCCTTCTCCCACATCCACCTACTACCTCGCCCACACAACTTCCCCGGCTCTTCTCCTGCTGCGCCTTGCTCTGTCATCAGTCGGCCCAGGTACCCTCCAGGCCCGAGGTAGACAGACACCACACAGAACAGCCAACTGGTGCAAGTCCGCTTGAGAGTCCTAGCGTGTGGACTGGCTCTGACCAGCAGCACCTCGACCTTTGCCCCCCCCCCCCCTTCCCTCCCCCCCAAAGGCAAGCAGGTCCTTTATCTCCTGGTGTCCCCCGTTCCCCCCTCCCCCCGCCCTGTCGGCCTTCTTTCCTCTGACCCTCCTTGGTCAAGACGGGCCATATGAGCCTCTATGAACTCCCGCCTCAAGAGCTTTGCTTCGGAAAACGCAAATCAACTGCCAGCATCAACCCCGACCCCTATCAGCCATCCAGCCAAACCCCGCCTCCTGGTGGTCCCGGAGGCGCCCCTCAAATACCGCAGCAGCTGCCACTCCGCCCTGGCTCGATCGCTTCTGCCTCTTCCGCCTCTCTCTCTCCCATGAATCATCCCGGCGCTCCCAATCGCCCTCCCAGCTACTCTGCCAACAACTACCCGCCCGGCGTCGCCCCTCCAGTCGGACGCACCAGTCCCTTGAACCAAGCTCAGACGCGCACCCCGCCTACCCAAATGGTTGGCGGTCCTCCTCCCATCAACACCGGCGCTCCCGCCGGTTACCCACCCCAGCTGCCTCCCGTCGGCGGCCAGGGACCTCCCATGGGTGGTCCTCCCGGCTATGGCGGCGGCGGTGGTTATGGGCCTCCCCCGCCTCAGCAGCAGCAACAACAGGGACCCCCTCTCGGACAGCAATACCCCCCGCGCCCCGTCCAAGGACCAGGCGCCAGCGAAGTCGAGGGCAGCAGCCGGAACAAGGCACAGCTGATCGTTGGTATTGATTTTGTGAGTCGTACCCTATGCGCTGCTGCTCCCCGAAACGATAGAGTGCAGGCTGACAATCATGACCAACACAGGGAACAACTTTCTCCGGCGTTGCCTTTGCCTTTGCCACGAACAACGAGGCGAAGGAAGATATCATCACTGAGTGGCCGGGCGCAGGATCGTACACCAAACAGAAGGTCCGCAACGTTTCCATACAGTCTACTTAGGACCGTTGAGACTGTTAGCTGACTTGTAATCGATGTTCAGATCCCCACCGTTCTCTACTATGACCAGTATCAGAAGGTCGTGGGCTGGGGTCCTGACATCGCCGATGCGCTTGCGCCAACGGGCTATCCGAAGCCAGGTGTGCAAAAGGTTGAGTGGTTCAAGCTGCAGCTTATGCTGTCCGGCAACACGTACATCGATCCGATCAACCTTCCGCCCCTGCCCCCTGGCAAGTCCGAGATTGATGTGGCAGCCGATTACCTATTTAAACTCCGTCAGGCGATGCGATCTGCGCTACAAAAGACCCTCGGGCGAGGTCTTCAACCGCGAAGAGCGCAACATTCGCTACTATCTGACTGTGCCGGCCATCTGGAACGATGCTGGAAAGGCCGCGACGCGCGCTGCCGCCATTCAAGCCGGCTTTCTGAGGGATGAGAACGACAACAGATTGACATTAGTGTCTGAGCCCGAAGCTGCCGCCATCTTCTGTTCCAAGACTGGTCTTCTGAACCTCAAGGTTCACGATGCCGTCTTGATCGTCGATTGCGGCGGTGGCACTGTCGATTTGATCGCGTACGAAGTCGAGGATGAGAACCCCTTCACCGTTGCCGAGTGCACAGCAGGCTCCGGTGACTCGTGCGGTTCGACGGCGCTGAACCGCAACTTCAGCAACATCTTGCGCACCAAGATCCGTAAGATGAAGTTGCCCGACGGCTCCAAGACAGCAGGCCGTGTCTATGCCAAATGTATCATGGACTTCGAGAACAGGATCAAGGCCGATTTCCGCAACAACGGTCAGAAGTGGGCTGTCGATGTCGGCATCGAGGCTGAATTCCCCGAGGCCGGTATTGAAGAGGGATACATGACCTTCACCAACGAAGAGATTCTTCAGTGTTTCGAGCCTGTCGTCAACCGCATCTTGGAGCTCGTCAGGAATCAAATCATTGCTATTCAGGCCCAGAACCGGACACTGCAAAACATTCTCGTCGTCGGTGGCTTCGGTGCTTCGGAATATCTCTTCCAACAGATCCGCCTCCACGTGCCCCCGCAATTCCAGTCCAAGGTCGTACGACCAATGGACTCTGTCGCCGCCATTGTCAAGGGCGCTGTCACGGCTGGCATCACAGAGCGTGTTGTCACCCACCGTGTAGCGCGTCGCCACTATCTCATGGCAACACTACAGCCCTTCAAGGAGGGTTACCACCCTGAAGCATACCGTGTTCCCTCCCTCGACGGCAAAGACCGATGCAAATTCACGCGCCAGATCTTTGTGCAGAAGGGACAAAAGGTCAAGATTGGTGAGCCAGTCAAGGTCTCCTTCTTCCGCCAGGTTGCACCAGGCGCCACACTCATGTACGAGGATATCCTGTACGCCTGTGATGATGATGTTTGTCCCGAGTACACCAAGGATCCTCGTAAGTTTTCGCCCATCAGGCTTCTGTTGACGAGCTCGTTTGGCTGACACGCGCGCAGGTATCAAGGAAGTTGTCACGCTCACCTCTGATTTATCGAGAAAGAACCTCGAGAAGGATTTCGAGAGGATGGACACACCACAGGGCACCTTCTACCGTGTCTATTTCGATATTTACCTCACTCTCGACGGATCGGAGTTCAGCGCTGAGTTGGTGTGCCAAGGTGAAGTCATGGGACGATGCCGCGCGCGCTTCCGATAAATGACGGTCGGCAGGCTGGGGTGACAGATGAGGCTGTTGAGAATGCATGTTTCGTTTTTAAAACCGATGATACCTTGAAAAGAGGAAATGGGCCTGGGCATGACTGTCCTGGGATGGAGCGGTATATACATACAAAGGTGCTGACGGCTACTGCTCCAAGGGCGGGGCAATCTTCAAGAGACGATGATGACAGATGATAAAGCTTTACAACACTTCATGGTTTGAGAGAGCGAGCTGGATCCAGCCAGCCTATGGTCACGATGATATCAAGGTCCTTGGGTGATGCTTTCTGGCCCTGGTGATGTGGTCGCGGGGATGGACATTTCGCAACAAGCACTATACTCATCATCAATCCTGCAGTAACCCTGCTGCTTTGCAACATTCAGGACATTGCCCCTTCAAGTACACGTGAGTCAGCTACCTACGTTGTCGTCTCGAGCGATACCCCGCTGTTGGAGTTGGAGTGAATGTGGCTGTGGTGACCGCCACGGCGCCAAGACCCACCATTTGTATGTGGGGGGCTCGGGTCGAGGGCGACCCTGCATGTCCAGAAACTGGGCAGCCACGACCACCCCTCCTGCGTCATAGCCAGCCTTACCAAGGCTCATGATCTTCCTCAATGTCGGTCTGCCCTGTTCTGTTCCTCGAACCCTGACCGCCATACCTGGAATTTTGTAACCCTGGCAAGAGGGCCCCTGCCGAAGATAGCGGCAACGAAGGTCATATATTGTAGAATGTCGCTTCCTCTTGTACTGAATGGAATGCCACCAAAGGCAGGCGCCCGTGGGAGATCAGGATGAACTCCGAGTCAAAAAATGGTCCTGAGGTCGGGAGCGCATTGCCTGTCTGCAACGCACCAACATCCTTCGACTCCTTTTATGAAGACTACGCTATATATTTACCAACCTGACAGGTCGTGCCTCTTTCAGAGGGGCCCTTGTTCGCCGACCCCTGCTTCCCACAGATCTCTCTCCAGCCAACCAGATTCCTCATCTTCTCCCCGCGAGCGTGTCCCTGGTTTTGCTGTCCAAACAAGATCACGGCAAGCCCTCCATCTTATTCTCTGACGCTATGGCCGACAGGGGTCCGCTTGTCGCCCGTTCAGGGTCGAGGCCGATAATCGTTACCGGATCCTCTCCCTAGATCCATACGTCACTTGATCACCAAACACCTGAGCCAAGTTGAGACCTCGCTCCGTTGCTGGGATATATATCTTCGTCTAGGCTCGCAGCCATTATCAACGTGCTATGCGAGCCTGGAGCTTCGACCACTGACTTACTCCAACACCTAGAAAAACACACACAAAAATCTGTCCATATTTTTCTTTCGAACACCGAGCTCGATCCAGACACCGGCATTCGCTTTGACCTACCATTGTTCGGCGTCATTTCACCTGTCGTTGAGGTTGAGACTGATACGCCAATCATAAAGACCTTCACGCGCCGACAGGCGCATTCGTTGATCAGCCATGCCAAAGACAGCATGCATCGCCTCGCTGTTTGCTCTGATCACATATTCCGCCGCCAGCCCGGACCTCAATATCGACAAAAGCTATCTTGACCCCAGTAGAGGCTACGTTGCGCCTCGCCAAGGACCTTCGTCCAACTGGAAGGGCGACAAGAAACCATTGAAAATTACCAATAAGTGCCCAGACACTCTCTGGCCGGCACTCTTGACTCAGCATGGCGATGGTCCTGATAGCGGAGGTTTCGAGCTGGGATCTGGCAAATCGAAGACTCTCTGGATTGGTTCGACGTGGCAGGGCCGAGTCTGGGGAAGGACAAATTGCACGGTTGATGGCGAGTCGGCTAGGTGTAGTACTGGCGATTGTTTTGGTCAACTCGAGTGTAGCTTCGCTGTATGCTCCTCCGCCCCAGGTTGATGAGCGACTTGTACTGACTTCAACAGGGTGAAGTGCCTGCCACACTAGCCGAGTTCACTCTTGCGGGTGGCATCTCAAATGCACAAACGTTCTACGACATTTCCCTTGTCGACGGCTACAACCTCCCAATGGCTATCAATTATATTCCAGCTGCCAACACAACTTTTATCCCACCCAATTTGACAAACGCCGCGTGTATCGCCACGCCCGGCTACTTGGCCGCAGGCGCCTTGTCCGGCGAAGATTACAGCAACAGCACCTACCCCATTCCCTGGGAACCGTACGAGTCCAACGACAGTGCTCGAGATTGGTGTCCCTGGTCCCTGCTGGCGTATCCTCCTGATAAACCGGGCGACGGTATCTACCCCTACCCAGACGATGACATCAAGCGGCCTGACTTCAGCCCCTGCCTAAGTCAATGCGCTGCGACTGGGCGTGACGAAGACTGCTGCGTCGGCGACTACCATGATGCCGAGATCTGCAAACCGGGCCGGTACTCAAGTCTTATGAAGACCATTTGCCCCGACGCATACAGCTTTGCCTTTGATGACCAGCAGTCTACGTTCATCGTGCCCTCGGGGGGTGGATGGGAAGTCCTTTTCTGCCCAGCAGGTAGAAGCACCACCATTCTCCGCACTCTCGGCCAGTACATGTCGGAGGTTGCTGCCTCTGGTCACTTGACAGACGAAAGCCTAGCTGCGGTCTCCAATTTGTCCTACATAGAAAAGAGGGCAGAAGAGACAGCGGCCGCTGTTGGCTTCGCACGTCCAGCATTATTCTGGACGCTCTCCGCTGCGGTTGGTAGCGTGTTCATGGTCGTACTATAGGTGGACGTGGGCGTGTGAGAGAGATCTTCAGCCAGCGCGACGGGCTGGTCCCGCACATCAGGCTGTGTTTGGCTGTTGATGGACGTTTCGTTTTGTTCTTCTGATCCAGCGCATGAATACCCGATATGATGACATGAGATTGCGATGGAAAGTGGCCGGCTCTGCACCTCCCGAGTTGGTCGAGAGAGAATGCTATACTTCACTGTGTACCTACCTAGATTGAGTTTAAAGAACAAATTGTTTCGAGCTCACCGACCTGCTCATCACCTTAACGTTCTCAATACCTTAACGTTGAATACATGGTTCACTACTAAGTAGATCTACAGACACTTTGGATGAATAATTGAAGTGGTGGTGCTCATGTGTCAAGCCAGGCCTTCATGCTTTGCGAATAAAACTAAGAAATCTATGCCGTCCGTCATCCGTTCGTCCCTCGTATCTTTGCCCCTCAGGTCATGCCGCAGACATGATCACTCGCAGATCATGAATGAGATGAATGCTCCTCAGTGAACCGTACTTATTCCTCTCCCTCACGAAAGCCGTACCTTAGCCCCTTTGCGCCCTCCTCTCCTTCCGCCGACGCTCCCACTCGGCCCTCTCGTCGTCGTCGCTGCCGCTGAACTCGGCGTCCTCGTCACTTTCAACCTCCTGCTGGTGGTGGTGCTGCTGCTGGTTCGCCTTGCCACCCTGCGCGGGCGCCGCGGGCTCGACGTTGACGAAATCGCCGGCGTTGAGGGCGGCGTACTCGTGCTTCTGGATGAGGTCGCGGAGCTCCTTGTTCGCGGGGTCGACGAGCTGCAGGGGCGTCAGGCCGCCCTTGTTCTTGACGCGCGGGGAGGAGCCGGCCTCGAGCATCATGTCGACGAGCGACGCGCCAAAGGGCCAGTTGGCCCGCGGCTGGCCGTTGAGCCAGCGGATGGCGGTGTGGAGGGGCGTGTCGCGGTCGATGCGCGTCACGGGGTCGCATTCGAAGTTTGGTTGGTCGAGGGAAGGAGGTCGATGATCTCGTCTGTGGCTGGGGTTAATTTCTGTTCTACTTTTTCTTATGACTAGGGGAGGTGATGCGGGGACGTACGCGAAAAGGAGGGGGTTAAGAACAAGGAAATCCCACAAGGGCGCACCGGTCTGCGGC